GATGGAGGTTCCTGATCCTTTTACTAGGATCATGTAGTCCCCATGCCTTAGGGTTACCATGGTGACGGCAGAGTGGAGCTCTATCTTCTTACCATGAAATAGCACAGATACCACCATCTGGAAACTGCTTAGGAGGCAAAAAGGAGGCCAGCCATTGACCAGGGAGGACCCACAGCCCCTGCCCATGGTCTGTCCTGCATGTTCCTTAGCCTTAGGGGGTGGGAAATGGTTTGAAGGAGAGAAGAAGGGAGCTGCTATAATGTCTCTACTAATCTCCACTAATCCTGGCTGTGTACCCTATAAAGCTCAGCTTTGAATATTTAGGAAGACAGAGGGAGGCCAGGCATGGTGGCTCATGCCTGTAATCCTAGCACTCTGGGAGGCCAAGGCGCGTGGATCGTTTGAGCTCAGGAGTTCGAGATCAGCCTGAGCAAGAGCGAGACCCCCGTCTCTACGGAAAAATAAAAAGAAATTAGCTGGACAACTAATATATATATATAATTAGCCGGGCATGGTGGCGCATGCCTGTAGTCCCAGCTACTCAGGAAGCTGAGGCAGGAGGATCTCCTGAGCCCAGGAGTTTGGGGTTGCTGTGAGATAGGCTGATGCCACGGCACTCTAGCCGGGTCAATAGAGTGTGACTCTGTCTCAAAAAAGACAAAAACAAAACAAAACCAAAAAAAACAGGAAGACAGAGGGGGAGGAAATATGAGAAGAGACACAAAGAGGAAAATGAGGGGTCTGCCTAACTCAAAGGAAGTGAATTCAAAGTTCCAGTAATAAAAAAGAACATTTAGAGACCTAGGACAAGAGTAGGTCACCAAGTATGACTCAGGTCATACAAGAGTATGCACCATAGGTCTCAATATGTATTAATAAGGTATAAATCAAGTAACAGACTTAAGTAATCTTTTTTTTTTTTTTTTTGAGACAGAGCCTCACTCTGTTGCCCAGGCTAGAGTGAGTGCCGTGGTGTCAGCCTAGCTCACAGCAACCTCAAACTCCTGGGCTCAAGCGAGCCTCCTGCCTCAGCCTCCGGAGTAGCTGGGACTACAGGCATTCACCATCCCTGGCTAATTTTTTATATATTTTTTTATTTTTTAGATGCCTAGGTAATTCTTTCTATTTTTAGTAGAGATGGGGTCTCACTCTTAGGCTGGTCTCGAACTCCTGAGCTCAAACGACCTGCCTGCCTTGGCCTCCCAGAGTGCTAGGATTACAGGTGTGTGCCACCGTGCCCGGCCTCAAGTAACAGACTTAAAATATGTCCTTTTTCTTTTTCTTTCTTTTTTTTTTTTTTGAGACAGAGTCTCACTTTGTTGCCCAGGCTAGAGTGAGTGCTATGGCATCAGCCTAGCTCACAGCAACCTCAATCTCCTGGCTCAAGTGATCCTCCTGCCTCAGCCTCCCAAGTAGCTGGGAGTACAGGCATGCACCACCATGCCTGGCTAATATTTTGTATATATATTTTTTAGTTGGTCAATTAATTTCTTTCTATTTTTAGTAGAGACGGGGTCTTGCTCAGGCTGGTTTCGAACTCCTGACCTCGAGCAATCCGCCTGCCTCGGCCTCCCAGAGTGCTAGGATTATAGGCGTGAGCCACCACGCCCGGCAAAATATGTCCTTTTTCTACCTTGATACATACACCTTTATAACAGCCTGGAAGATCAGGTTTGACTCTAGAATTCTCTGACTTCTCAGAGGTCTGCTCAGTCCTACATCTGGAGGGGTCCCCTGCGCACAAATGAGGACAGCCAACCCGTATGTCTCAGCTCTGCACCACTTGCAAACTGCCATCCCTCAAGCCTAGGGGTGCCTCAAGCAGTCTGCCCTCGGGGGCATAGATCTAGGAAAAGGCTGCCCAGGCCCTCATTGCAGGTGCGAGTCCAGGTGAGTGAGGGATTCAGGTGTCCCAGATACTCAGAGTATGGTCCAGAAGGGGAAAGGGCTGTGCTTTCCAGGCTATCATGTCCCCTTGGTCCTACATGGGATAAAGTATAAAGACAATGTAATAACAAGAGGGATTATGCTATTTTGTAGGCTTTTTGCAGTTTATAAGGCACTCTGACATGGTTGGAATTTTGAAGTTTGCAAGATTAATGACCTCATTTTACAGATGAAGATACTCAGGCACAGAGAGGTTAGTGACTTCCCCTGGGTCCCTCCAGGGGTGGGGAACCTGCAGCTGTAAGGCCACAAGTGGCCTTCTAAGTCCTTAAGTGTGGCCTTTTGATTAAATTTTATAAAACAAATCTTTTTATTAAAATGGGTACAGCAGAGAAAGATGAAGCTTTTCTTGCCTCCTTCGGTGCTTAGAAAAGAACAATCTTGAAATCCTGACTCTTCCTATGTCAAGATTCGAGTCTAGGTGTGGTGGCTCACACCCGTAGTCCCAGCTACTTGTGAGGCTAAAGTGGGAGGATCACTTGAGCTCAAGAGTTCAAGGCTGCAGTGAGCTCTGATCGTGCCACTGCACTCCAGCCTGGGTGACAGAGTAAAGACCTCTTCTCTGGAAGAAAAAAAAAAAAAGAATGGAGGTGGCTGGTCCTTACCCAACAGGGCAGAGAGAGTCTGAGGATCTTGGGCAGCAAAAAGCAAGGAAATTTCCAGACATCTTCACTATGGGCTAGGGCCAGCTATTAAATAAATGCCCACTGGTGTGGCACCCACGGGCCTGGCCATATTGGCATTTAACCCCTCCAATCCCCTTCTCCCGGAGCTTTGTAAGCAGAAGGCAAGCCAGACCCGGCTTTCTTCTGGAAAGCAACTTGGATAAAGCAAGGCCAGACTTCTGCATTCTGAGCTCATAAGGCGTTATTAGAAAATGCAGTCGGTTCAGTTTCTGTTTCAGAAAAGGGCTGCTGTTTGGTAATGGCTCATTTCCCTTTTCGAGTCTCAGCAAAGACTCAGCAAAATGAAAAACAGTGAATATCACCTGAGCAGCTAATGAGCTCTTGAGAACAGGTAGAAGGTGTGACCCCACCCCAGCAGGAGGTGGCCTCGCACCAGCCCCGCTGTTCCTCAGTTACAAGGATGCCTGGGAGGGGTAAGAACACAGCACCCCAGCTTGCCACCTCCAAGCCTGGAGACTTGCCCCCCAGCCCTCGCCCTCTCTCACCCCTCCCCCTCCTGCCTGAATATTGATGGTGTTGGGCCTCAGCTGAAGGGAGCAGGTGGGAAAGCTGCCAGTGAGGAGTGGAGCCGCTGGGCGCGTGGTGAAGATGAGCTTGGCTTTTAGAATGCAAAGGCTCTGCCCCTAATCTGTGATCATTTTAAAGCAAGGCTGAGTGTCCACAATGAATTAGCTTCATTAAAGACTTTCCAGTCCTGAGCCCTCAACTGGAACAGCAGCAGATGAAGTGTCCGCTTTCTCTCCCTGGGCCAGGTGTGAGCTCCTGACAACCACTCATCATGCTGGTCCAGCACCGTGGTTCTCAAAGTGGGGTTCCCAGTCCAACAGCAGCCACCTTGGACCTTGCTGGAGATGCAAATTCTTGCATCCCGCCCCAGACCTAGGGAATCAGAAACTCGGGTGGTGGGTACAGCAATCTATGCTGTGCAAGTGCTCCAAGTGACTGTAATGAGGATAGCTTCTGTAGTAGTAGTCATCAGGAGCTTGAGTCCTGGGGTCAGACACACCTGGGTTTGAATCTCAGCTCTGCCACTTAGCAGGTGTGCATCTGAGTCTTAGTTTTGACATAAAACATGGGGATAATGATGCTTCCTCATAGTGTGAGCAAGTGGATTAAGTAAGATTAACATGTTTGGTTCACAGTGCTCAATAAGCAGTATCTCCTCTATTTCTCTAGAAATCAGATTGACAAGGGACTTCAAGAAGGCTGTCCTGGAGGTGCTAGCAGCCCCTTTCAGATGTGTGGCCTCTGATTCATGCCTCAAGCCACCTCCTGCATCCTGTGGGCCTATGACTGGTTCTCATTACTTGACCAGGACTGAAACTGTTGGAAGATCTCGTTTATTTCCCAGCTTGTCTAAAGGGAATTCTCCCACCTCTGAGAGCAGCGTGCAGGCTTTGTGGCTGCATTATTTCACCGGCCAGTTGGCAGGCCCTGCTGCACCTGCACCAGGTGCATTGAAAAGTGGCCAGGATATCCCCCACTCTGCACACCTCACAGGACAGCCAGGAGAAGTAATCATTTAGTCTGGGGGAGAGCTGTACGTGGATTCGCAGTAGGAGGAGCCAAGCCATACCTTCAAAACATTGCTTAGCGATTTCCTCAGGTACGCATCCAATTTCATTGCTCTCAAATTCTACCTTCCACAAAACACTGGAACACAAACACAAGTCAGCCAAGTTCTTTGACACTTTATAACAAGTCTTTTCTTCATTGTCCAATAACATGTTCCTCATTTCTGTTTGTGATTTATGACTTTTACTGTCCATACTTATACCAATATTCTATTGAGGATTACTTAGGAATTCTCTGATCAAGGCTTTCTCTAAACTCTAAGCTCTCCTCTTTTCGTTCTGGTCCCTCACCAGCCTTTGAAGGCCTGTTCGTGGCAATGTAGGATTTTCTACCTACACCTCAAAACTCTTCCAGCCTCTACCCATAACCCAGTTCCAAAGAGGCCTCCACATTTTTAGGTATTTGTTACATTAGTACCCTACTCCTGGTACCAATTTCTGTCCTAGTCTGTTTGGGCTGCCATAACAACATCATCATAGACTGGGTAGATTATATCCAACAGAAATTTATTTTTCACTGTTCTGGAGGCTGGAAGGTCCAAGATCAAGGCTGCAGCAGATTTAGTGTCTGGTGAGCACCCACTTCTTGGTTCACAGAGGGCCATTTTCATGATGTGTTCTCACATGGAAGAAAGGGAGAAGGATCTCTTTTGGGCACCTTTTATAAGATCACTAATCCCCCGTTCATGAGGGCTATGTCTCATTATCTAATCACTTTCCAAAGTCCCAACTTCCTAATACCATCAAATTGGGGATTAGGATTTGAACGTATGAATTTGGGAGCACACAAACATTCAGTCTATAGCACCAGGCTTCATTGTAATTGCTTTATATGCATTCCAGTATATCATAATCATCAGATATTAGGTCAGTACTACAATCACTCCTATTGTTCAGACGAGAGAATGGAGGCAGGGGTTGGACTTGCCTTCAGGTACACAGCCAGGAAGTGGCGAGGACTCAAACCCAGGCAGGCTGACTCCAGATCCCAGGCTCTCATTGTAACCATGTTGGAATCTGACCAGTTTCCACAGGGCATCCGTGTTCATGGCTGTGTGTTCATGATGGAGCTAGGATAGGTGCTGGGGTGCCCAATCTCCCAGCAGAGGCCTAGAAAAAAGTAAAGTAGCTCACTCAAAGGACAAAGTGAGCAGCAGAGCTTGGTCTGTGGTCTCGGACTTTCAGCTTTCCGCCCGGTGCGCCCTGCCCCAGGTCAGGCATGTCTGGGCAGGCAGACCCAAGCAGAGCGTCTGGGTGTCAAACAGGCATCAGGTACTAGGCCTGGGGCCCAGGCAGGTGTGCCGAATGGCAGGTACAGCGTACAACCTGCCACAGAAATGCAGTTGGGCATTGCCACAAACTATCCAGGCAGAGCAAAAAGTGGAAGAAAAACAAATTTCTTGACAATCTTCTATATGTCAGGTACTTTCACATACAACATTGGGGCTTAGTTAATCCTTTCTACAGCCCTGATATGCTTCTCATTTTAGACGTGAGAAAAAGGCATCAGCAAGACTTGGCTGAAATGACCCAGCCAGGAGGGTGGCGGACCAGCATGCCAGCCTCATCCAGGCACCTGGAGCCCTGACTGTCCATTCCTTGGCCCTGTGCTGTGGCCCTGGAGCTCCTGTGACTTCCAGTCAAGGGTAGAAATTATTGCTAGTGGGGTGCATAGGGCCAGCGGATCAGCTGGCTGGAGTCTTGTAGAGGCAGAGAGCAATGGCCATCTTTGTCATTCTTCTTCGGGGTCCAGCCCAGGCCAGCTGAAAGTTGAGGTCGTCATCTCAGGCTGAGGCTGCCTTCACACCTCTTGAGTGGCTGAAGCCTGGGTGTGGGCAGAGAGTGTGCCCTGTGCCCTTGAGTCACTTGCTGCAGAGGCTGTGCGCCCTGGGGCAGCTCTCGCCTGTGTGGGCTGGGGAGTGGGCACGGCTGGGGTGACTCACTGGCTCAGTGGCTCAGCAGATGGTCACAGCTCTGGGACTTACTATTATCCCTCTTTTATGGATGAGGAGATGAGATTCCAGAAGGTTGACTCACACAGCCAGTGCCTGGTAGGGCTGGCAGCAAGACTCCCTGACCTTCAAAACTGTCCCCTAACCCTGCTGTCCCAAGACAGGTCCATCAGCTGCAAGCCCTGTGGGGGTGACCTCAGCAGCAGGGGTTGGTATGGGGAAGGGGGATGTGGGGCCCAGAGGGCTGGTGTCTGGAGACTGGGCAGGGGGCAACAAGACCCCGTGCCCAACAAGGAGAGGTGTGTGTAAGCCCAGGTCAGGATCAGGGGGGCACAGTCCAGCAGGGGCCTGGCTGGCTATACCAGGCAGGTCAACTCAGGCCAGGGCCAGCGACAGAGTTCTGGGCCATACATCAACTTAGCAAGGAAAAGGGGTGACAGGTGTGAAGAACCAAGGAGGAAGTCCAGACTCAACTAGGGGAGGAATAGGGTAGGGCAGGTAAGGACTTCTGAGTTTAGGAAGACCTAGGTTTGATTCCTACTTGGTAGCTGAGTGACCTTGGTAAAGTTACCTACCCTCTCTGAGCCTCACCGTGTTTATCTACAGATGGAGAAGGCATGTAGGTACAGTCTGGCACAGGGTAGGAATCTGGGCGGCAGGGTGGAAAGTCTGTCCTGGCCTCTGGCCCTGTGGCTACATGCCTAGTCTCAGCTTCCACCTGCTGGTGAGGCTGAAATTCCGTCTGGGATCCTGCCAGGGTCAAAGCCAGACTGGGAACTGGGCTGGCCTCAGCTAGTGGGTGGAGGGCAACAGTGACACGGGCCTAGGCAACACTGACACTGACAATGCTGCCACCAAGGAAGTGATAATGGTGACATACACACTAGAAACTCCCACTCAGAAAGCCCACGCAGTTGAGACAAGCACTGGGGTTTAAGCTTAAACTTAACTGGAATAAAATATGTCGACAGATTGGCCCCTCTCTCTTCTACGTGCAGCTCTCTGTGAAAGGGTGACAGGGGTTCAGAAGCCGGGCTCCCCCTCCCACATTGCCTCCAAGCTTGATGAGGGGGCCCAAGTCTTCTCCCAGGGGCACTGGGTGGAAGATGAGGGGTCTGTGCTAGTGATACCACCCCTGGTTCAAGTCCCCTCAGGTCCCCATGCACCTAGGAATGAGCATTTTCTTACAAGTCCCTGTCATCCACTAGTTGAAGAGTCCATTCATGGGGCTGCCTCTGGCTTTCTTTGTTGAAAAAAAGGAGGCAAATGAAGGTGTGTATGGTGCCCTAAAAACTGGCACCTGGGATTAAGTCAGAGAACTATTAGACAAAGGCAACTTTTAGGGACACCCCGTCTAGCTCCCTCACTGAAAACTCCCCATCTCAGTATTGAGTTTTGCTCACCCCCCACACGCATGAGCGGGCTCACAAGGGGGCACGTGAGACTTGAGACCCAGAGCAGCTGGTGCCCATGAGCTGCTCCCACAGCGAAGGGGGAACAAAGATGCCTGAGCTCCCCTGGCCACCCCTCCGCCTGGCCATGCATTTTCATTGTCCTTCCTCCCTGGGAGGGAACGATCCTTCATGAAATGCCCACTCAGGCGAGTAACAAGGGGGTGCAGGCAAAAGCCCAGAGAGTCCCCCCACCAACCAGCCAAGCAGCCAGCCCCTCCCAACTACGAGCGGCCTCCCCTGTCCCAGCCAAGTCCCCATGTCACAGCATCTCCACGGCTGGCCAGCCTCTTCCTCTGCACTCACGCTAACTTCCCATCATCGCTGTCACAGGGATGCCTCCTCCACTCCCTGAAAGCCACCCCCTCTCTGCAGAGCCCGAGACCCCCACCGCTCCCTCCTCATAGCTCAGGGTGGTCCCCCGCTCTGAGCTCAGCCACTGCTGGCTTACTTGAGAGCCGGCATGCTGTCCATTTCTAAAACTGAGTCACCCGCGAGACCGATGCCCCAAATCATCCCCAGCATTAAAGTTGGTGAAAAACCCGAGGGGGAGATTTCATGTTCCTGCAAAACAGGCAAGGGAGAATTTTTTTTTTTTGTAGGTATCAAGTTTCAGAAACCCTTTCAAGGATGTCCTCTTCAATTCTCGGTCCAGGAAGAGGGAGTGCGTACTAGACTGAGACGGTGGGGAACATCAACTGCCGCCACTGGGTGGATTACCGACTGTCTCCCGGTTTAATCAGCCTCCGCAGGACTCCGCCAAGCCAGCGAGCTCCCGCAGAGGAGGAGAGGGCTGATTTATAGCTCTCCAGGTTGCCGCTTCTTGGGGGCAAGCTCTGTTCTTCCTGCGAGATTCTTAAGAACTCCCGGTCTGATCTGGCGCCTTTCTCTCTGATTCCCAAGCCAGCCTGCCGCCCCAAGGAACAGCCTTGTGGGAGCCTTCAAGGCACCTGAAAAAATGTAAATTACTGTTTGCATCAGGGGCTGGCAAAGGTGAGGGGGCCAGAGTCTCCAAGGTGGGGCACACAGAGCCCCCGAGTCATCCTTCATCACACACAGCAACTACCCACGACGAACCGGAACAGAGCAACACTCAATCCTGAGGATCAAAGCTTCAGCACCACTGATGTTTTATGACAAAGAAACCCATGAAAGCCGAGGTGCTTGCTGGCCCCATGATGGATGAGACCCTGGGCCGGACACCTCCCCGCCCCCATGTCCGCTCTCCACCTGCTCCTGGCCATGGTATAAGCCACAGGGCGTGGAGGGATCAGAGGAGGGGAGGGAGGGAGTTTGTCCCTTTAGCTCCCTCCTGTGGGGTGACAGCAGGCTAGACTGTGCACCCCCAAGCACAGTCACGTCTCTGGGCTCTAGAGGGACTCCTTCCCAGCCCCACATCAAGCCTGGGCTAGAATGCTCTCACTACGACTAGTTCTCAGATAGAATACGTAACCCCTTGGTGTTCCTACACCTGCTCTCAGAATATCCTCAAATTACCCAATCTGAGTATGCCACCGCCTGCCAAGACCCTGACTAATACAGGCGTAATTGAGGCTTACGCTGAACACTCAAGTATTTATTATGCCCTTAAACCAATGGCCTTGGCCTGTTGTTCAAGGGCCAACTTCTTGGTGCCGTAAACATCAAGATTAGAAGATCCCTGCCCTGACCCAGGCCATAGGATCTGTTTGAAAACCCGTCCTGCCACACTGGTCCCTAGCACAGGGAAGCCCTCTGGTCCCTCTGGTCCTTCTAGAGCCTCTGGAATGAAGCCTATTTATAGAAGGCCTGTCTTTCTGGGTTTTTCAGTCTGGTTGGTGTGTGGTCTTTCACCCACAGAACACAGGGGTCTTTTCACACTTGGGTATGGGGCCTGAATACTGGCCACCCTGGGGGGCCTCCATTCCAGGGGGCCCCCTCAGGGTAGGGAGGGCTGAGAATTCTCTGGCATCTTGCTGTCAGCTGGAAGGAGCAGGCTGGAAGAACTCAGCCTGCGGCTGGGTTTTGGCACTGGCTTTGTAACAACTCAGAGTCCAACGCTGGCCGCACCTTTCTGAGCGGCTATGGAGAGGTGCAATGTTAACCATCAGCTATGAAGGTGACACCCCTGCTTTGTAGCTGTGTCTTCTTCAGATGTCGCAGGAGTGCTCTGTTAACCTGTCTGGAATGCCTCTGCCTTGCACGGGACGGGCGTGGACCTGGCCCGCTGGCATCTTGGGAGAGACGAGGCCCGAGTGTGCTCTGCTCTCTGCACCAAGTGAAACTCCAGCCCCTTCCTCCACGCCCCGAGCCTTCCAGGCTCTCCCTCCCCATCTCGCAGAGGCTCCGAGGCACCCGGCAGCACCGATGTCCTCCAGCCCCCCTCCTAGATGAGGTGCACCAGCAGGGTGGAGCAGGCCGAGCCCAGCAGCAAGCCCATGCACAAGTAAAAGGTCAACACCACCCCTGTGGCCTCGGCCAGCTCCCTAGGCACGATCTTAGGCCCGTAGATGAGCGCCAGGGTGCTGAGGTAGCCATTGCTGAGCCCCAGCAGGGAGCAGAAGACGATGGGGTAGATGTCGGACTGGAAGACCACCGTCCGCAGGTGGACACGGGGCTGGTAGTTACAGAGCACGAAGAGGGGCACAAAGCAGGTCCGGAGCAGCACGAGCCCCGGCAGCACCTTGCTCTTGGGCCCGGGCACCTGGATCCAGGCCGTGAGCTGCCGGCCACACAGGTCACCAAAGTTGTACAGGAGGAAGACGGCGAGGGGGGCGAAGAACTTGGTGGTCCACGGGGAGCCTGAGCCCTTGTTGAGGGACTCGATGTTGGTGCAGATGGCGGGGTAGATGAGGCTGGTGACAAAGAAGACATAGAGGACACAGAAGCCCAGGCTGGCCGTCGTCTTCAGGATGGGGCGCAGGGGTGGTATCTGGGAGTCACTGGAGCCGGGAGCCACCAAAGGGGCGCTGGTGGAGTCCTGGAGTGGCTCCTCGTCACCAGAAAACACGCGGGCTGGACAGATGGGCCTCATGTAGTACCTGCAGGGAGGAGAGAGGGCCACCGTAAAGCAGGTCGCTTGGGATTTCCAGGGACGAGGAGCAGGAGACCTCAGAGTCAGCACAGCTGGGGTCGGCCTGAAGAGAACTTTCGGGCCCAGCATGTAAAGCCCTAGCCCCACATGGCCCACCAGGCCCGGGTTCCCTGGGGTGCTGCGTGCGGTTGCAGGTTGGCCAGAGGAGGCCTGCACTCTCCCTGGCCTACCTGCCAGGCTGGACTCCTGTCCCTCGTTCTGGGGTGGTGGCCGTGCCATGAGCAGGGACAGAGGAAACCAGCAATGACCACCACATGGTAAGTCTGGGCTCGGGTCCTGACTCACCTGCCTTTTTTGTTTTGTTACTTTGTTATGTTTAGACAAGGTCTCTATCACCCAGGTGCATCGTAGCTCACTGCAGCCTTGAACTCCTGGGCTCAAATGATCCTCCTGCCTCAGCCTTCCCAGTAGTTGGGATTACAGGAATGTGCCACCATGCCTGGCTAATTTTTAAATTTTTGTAGAGACAATGTCTTGCTATGTTGCCAAGGCTGGTCTTGAACTCCTGGGCTTAAGCGATCTTCCTGTCTTGGACTCCCAGAATGCTGGGATTACAGGCATGAGCCACCCTGTTCCTGGCCATGGCTCACCTATTTTTGTAATGTTTTGGAGTAGGGAGATAGAGATAAAACAGCATTTAAAAATATAAAACTTTAGAATTACAAAAGTAATACATGCTTGTACAACGAATCCAAGTAACACAAAAGAAAAACAACAAAGTAGAAAGAGAACTCTCATTTCCTCCCACTCTGATCTCACTCCTTAGTGGTAATGACCATTAACAATCTAGTATGTATTATTCCATGTATTTAATACATGCAAACACCACACGCACACAGTTGTATTTCTTAAGCAAAAGTGGAATCAAGCTATACATATTATAAAACTTCCTGCAATAATATAATGTCGAAGCCCGGCGTGGTGGCTCACGCCTGTAATCCTAGCACTCTGGGAGGCCGAGGCAGGCGGATTGATCGAGGTCAGGAGTTCGAAACCAGCCTGAGCTGGTTTCGTCTCTACTATAAATAGAAAGAAATTAATTGGCCAACTAATATATATAGAAAAAATTAGCCGGGCATGGTGGCACGTGCCTGTAGTCCCAGCTACTCGGGAGGCTGAAGCAGCAGGATTGCTTGAGCCCAGGAGTTTGAGGTTGCTGTGAACTAGGTTGACGCCACGACACTTACTCTAGCCTGGGAAACAAAGCGAGACTCTGTCTCAAAAATAATAATATAATATCTAAATATATAAATAATACAAATGTATACCATATATAAGTCTAAAACATGGCATAAACATTATACATACACAGAATTGCCTAAAAAACAATATTTCGTGGCCGTCCTTGCACACGGGAACATATGGCTCTGTCCCTCTGCTGTGCTGTGCATGACATTTCCCTGTCTGGATACTCAATTAAACTGCTCCCCTAATGACAGACATTTAGGTTGGCTCCAACTTTTCACCACTACGAATGTGTAATGTGTTTCACTACTAAAAATGAATATCCCTATGCATAAATTCTTGTGCACACACACTAGTATTCTGGTAGGACAGATTTCTAGAAGAGGAAATTGCTGGGTTAAAAGGTTTGCAGCTTTAAAATGTTGATAGATATTGATAAACTTCTCTCCAAATAGATACTAGCAATTTATCTCCGCTCCAGACCACTCACGCAGCCTAAACGAATAACTTGCCTGTTCCGTTAATCTCCATGAGAACATTGTTTCTTTAAAAAAAATTGACTCCAATCTATGATCATTGCATTGGTTTACTGGCTTGTCACCTGTCTCCTTTGGCAGAAGACAGCTCCCTGGGGCAAGGACCACGTTTGATTGTTTCTAGCTAAATGCCCAGGCACAGAGTAGCTCTTCAAAAGACAATTGCTGAAAGAACTGATAAATAACCTATAAAAGTGTCCTCCCCCACATCTTCACCACTGAATATCATGAGTCTATTCACCTTCTGCTACTCTGACCAGGGAGAAAGCGTGCATCACTCTGCCTTGCTGTGTGACCTTATCTGAGCCGCTCAACCTCTCTGGGCCTCAAGGATCTGACAACCAAGAGACACAGGCTCACTGTATTAGCTCAAACAGAAGGACTGGGTGCATGCTAATGTGGGGAAACAGTAGCTTGGTGACAGCTGGGTTCTGGTTTCGGCCTTGCCTCTGCCTCCCTGTGTGACCGTGGGCCGGGCCATGCACCTCTCTGGGCTTCATTCCTCTTCTGAGAAAGGGAAGTTTCACAGGGCCATGGGGTTTTGGAGCTCCTGCCAGCCCTCCCATCCTAAGAGCTGACAGACAACAAGCAAGTGGGTGGGAAGGTTCTTCCCTAGAATGGCTCTTCTGCAAGATGTAGCATGGGGCACTTTGGCCTTGAACCCTGTCCAGTTTCACAATTACTGTCTAAGGAGAGGAATATTCTTACTTCCCTCTCCACTCAAGAGTTAGGGCCTTGTCTTAAGTCCGCTCTGAGAAGCTCTCCCCCAAGTTTCTCCAGGCAAAGCTCTTCATCCTAAATTCTTCCGAATCTTACTGCCTCATCCCACCCTTCCACGCACAGCACCGAGCACAGCCTTTTATGTAAGATCTAGTCTGGGCAGCCCTCGGGGCAGAGCTTTCTCCAGGAGCTCCATCCTCAGATGAGTGTCTATAAGCTTAGAAATCTTGACCTTAGTTTCAATCAGTGAAGAAACGGAAACTTCCACGGGACAGCACAGCCCTGGGTGTTCTTGGTCTCACATGTTGGCTGGAAAGGGCTTTGGCCCACCCAAATGAGACTGGAAACTAGGGGGGCTGACCATCCTGGTCTTTCTGAGGTCTTTAGTACTTCTGAGTACTAAAACTGTCCTGGTTTTAGTACTAAAAGTCCCTCGTCCTGGGGCTTAGCCAGGTGACTCCTTACGGGGACAGGAGGAATGAATGATGAGGAAAAGGCCTTGCAGTTATGAGCCAGGGAAGCAGCGTGATCTGTTGGGAAGAGGCAGCTCCGAGTTCAAATCCCTGCCTGGGAGTCACCAGGTGAGTGACCCTGAGCACATCTGTGAACCCCCCTAAGCCGCACTCTCCTCTTCTGTAAAGTGGGAAAACACGGTAACAACTGCACAAGTTGTCGTAAATAATGAGCCAGGAATACACAGGTAAACTGCTTAGCTCAGTGCCACCGCAAAACACAGGCGTCCCCGGAACGGGGCAGAGTCCGGAGCAGATCCCTGCCCACCTCTGCGGCTCACACTCCCTGGGACCAAGGGAGTCGCCTTCTCTCGGACTCAGTTTCCTCACCTACAACATGGGGACAGTAACGCCTGCTCTACCTACAGCAAATAAGATAACGGATAGGAAAACACTTTGGAAAGAATGAATGAAACAGCAGAGAAAGTCAAGGGATGTGTCTGTAAAGAGCAATAAGAAAGAGGAACTGGGGAGGGAAAGCAAACGAGAGACTCAAGGCAAGAAAAGAGGCCCCGGAGGGTGGAAAGAAGCCCCCCAAGGCAGTGGGTGAGTAAAAGCATAGGTTTGGGGTCACGGTCAAATCCTGGCTCTGCTGCCTACTGGCTGCAACTTGGGCAAGTAATTTTACCCCCTCTGAACCCTGGTTTTCTAAGCTGTGCATGGGAATAGTAAATAACAGAGCTGTCCCCTAAGGGGAACGGGAGCGTGAGCACTGGACGGGATACAGCACATTGGGCGAGCAGGAGAGCAGGCCCGGATGTTGGTGTGGGGTGCTCCGTGATGGGAACTGTCACTATTATTTATTACTACTATTCCTCAGGCCCCACTTCTCCCACCTGCCTTCCCTGTCCTGAAACTTGCAGGCTTCAGCTGCTCGGGGGGCACAGCACGGGGCCAGCTTCTCGGGGCCACTGGCCAGGCCACTTTGTTGAGCAGCTGCTATGAGCCAGGCACAGCTCGAGGCCCTGGGGTCCGGTGGCGAGCAAAGCTCTCACAAGGGTCTGCTCCCGTGGACTGCATCCTCCAGTGGGAGACGGGCCACGGACAAGGACACCAGCACGGAGGCTGCTTAGATGGCAGGAGCGTGCGAGCAGAGCCCGCACAGCTACGACTGCACACAAGGGGAGGGCGGGCGGGCAGCCTTCACCTGGCGTACTCCAGCCTGGGCAGCAGCAGGTACAGCACCATGCAGAGCCCAAGGAAGACGACAGCCGTCAGGAAGAAGGCCAGGGTGCTGTCACTCACGTCACTGGACGCTGCCAGGTCCACCAGCGAGGCCACGGCGCAGACGGTCCCACCCATGGCTCCTCCTACAGACGGCAGAGGACAAGGCAGAGACGGTGAGGGGCGGGGGAGGAGGCGGTGGGTGGCCGTGGTCGCTCTCCGAGTGGGTTTAACAGAACGAAATAAAAATTTCCCGATGTAAAAACGCCATAGTTCCTACAGTGGCCTGAAGCCACGGAGACGTGGAGGCATCCCGCAGCCCTGTGTTGCTGGAGGTTCCCAGGGTGCGGTTTTCCCTTTCCCTCCGTCCGTCCGATCGCTAAGAGGCTGCTCCTGGGGTGGCCCCGCCTCCAGGAGGGCCCCACCAGTCTGCTTCCCTCCCTAGTTTCACCTCTGAACCTTGATCTTTTTTTTTTTTTTGAGACAGGGTGTTGCTCTATCACACTGGCGACAGTGTAGTGGCGTCATTATAGCTCACTGCAACCTCAAACTCCTAGGCTCACTCGATCCTCCTGCCTCAGCCTCCTGAGTAGCTGGGACTACAGGCATGCACCATCACACATGGCTAATTTTTCTATTTTTTGTAGAGACGGGGTCATGCTCTTGCTCAGGCTGGTCTTGAACTCCTCGGCTCAAGTGATCCTTCCGCCTCTGCCTCCCAGAGTCCTAGGATTACAGGTAGGAGCTACCCTGGCTGACCCTTAACCTTTACTGTCCTTCTAGTGGGGTCTGAAATTTTAGATTTAAGGGTGAGGAATGTCAAAGGGCTCTGGATTTCCTCTTCTCTGCGGTTGGCCCAAAGCACCCACCAACCAATGCAAAAGAAGCTCAGGGAATGTTCTAGCAAAGGTTCACTGGCTACCCTGAGGCTGTCCTTTCTGGGGAAGCCCTCGTTGGCTACACACTCCCACTGCATTACCCTCCCAGGAGCTCACGGAACTTATCCTGCACTCCCAGGCAGCTGCGGCACTGTCCACATGTGAATACACGTGCACACGCACAGCACTCACACATACATACAACCACACACCTATACACACACACATGTGAGCATGTAACCACCCTGCCACATGGCATGATCTTGCCAAGGGCTTTGACACACGTTACCCCACGTGACTCCGTGGCCATCACACCCGTCCCTGCTACCTAACGGAGGGCAGGGGCTTGGGCGTGCTGGGATGTGTGTGGGCGGATCACTTACTCTCCCCTGCCCGTGTCTGTTTGCCTGGAGATCGGGGCTGATACTCGTCCCACCCATCACCTGAAACCACACTGCAGTGGGAAAGGGGCGATGAGCGGAAGGTCACCGCTACAGGCCAGCACCGCTCTCATCCATACGGGCGGGGCGGGGCAGAGATGCTGCATTGACTGGCTGGACGCATCTGCCGACTTCAGAGCGTGAGAATACCCGTTCGCACCGAGGCCGGAGGAAGGCTGGCTTCGGCAGCAAAGAGCACGCTGGCGCACGCGGCACGGCCTGCTCTGTCCTCCGGGCGGCCTCACCCGGCACGGCTCTCCCGCTCACAGTGGCACGGGGCAGAGTGGGAGAGGGGCAGCTCAGGCCCCGTCCACCCTGTGCACCATCACTGTGCAGCGTCCCCATGCTCTGCCTGACACGTCCCTGTGGCCCTGCAAGGAACGGCCGTCGGTCCTGATGGACGATCCTGCCCCCAACCCTCCCAACTTGAATTCTGTTAGTTAGCCTGGGTGGGGCTAGAGGAAGGGCAAAGGTGTGAAAATTAGCATAGTGATCAAGAACTCTAGAATCAGAACGTCCACCCCAGTTCTACCACTTCTAGCTGTGTGACCCTCGGCAAGTCCCTTAACTTCTCCGTGCCTCCGTTTCCTCATCTGTACAATGAAGATGTTAATAATCCCACCTCTCAGGGCCGTTAGGAAGATTAAAAGGATTAGTACATGCAAAGCACTCAGAAAAGTGCCTGGTGCAGACAAGTGCCAAACACCAAACAAATCCACTCCGATTCCCAGTTAGGGATCTGGCTGTTTCTGTCCTTCCCACATCAAAGCAGCAGCAACAGGGTAAACCCTTTGCCAAGAGGGTGCCCACTTCTGAGAAGCAGTAATCCCCACCTGGATGGTTGGTAAGAACTGGGGTTAAACTCAGTAAGACTTTCCCCAGCCGCCCCGAGGGGGAGATCTTCACATCTTAACGTCACTGCCTATTGATTTCTTCTCTCTCCTTCCGACTGGCACAGAATTTACAATATTATCATCAACAACAAGCCAGGCCTCCAGGAGCTCATCCTTCACGACTCCCTACTTTTATCTCATCAGTTATGGAAATACATGCAAATGAGGGGTTTATAAAAACATCAGCACCAAATGAATGAATTGTTCCTCTGCTGCCAGCACTCACAGAATTCACAGATGGGCTCCTCTGGACCACAAATAAGAGGGGCTTGCAAGGTGGAGCTGGGCACCCATGGGGGCTTTGCACAAGGGTGACAATGGTTTAGGGCCCAGGGACATTCATATTGGAGCTTAAGTACTAAATTTCCCTGCCTTTTCAAAAATGGACTTTCTGAAAAATTCACAGGAGACTCCCCTTCCCTGGAAGATCCACAGGTGGCCAGACGGACCCGAGAGCCACCTGCCAACACACATGGTGTGTCTGTCACTGGCTCCTGGAGAGGTGGCCAGCGAGACTGAAGTTGTGTTGAAAAACCCTCCGCCAGCAGGCCGGAGGGAGATGAGGAGATCAGAACCTCTTCCTGAAGCCAGGGGTGACAGCAAGTTTAAATCCAACCTGCGGTGGCCCTTCTTGGAGCTTTGGTAGGGGCGTGTTGACCTTATGCAGGAAACTAAGCAATGAGTAGTGCGTTTTCATTTTATTTTATTTCAGGCCCAAGGCCTTCCCAGGATAGAGCCAGAAGCCTAATCCTATATCAAAAATGGCAAACGGATTGAAGCTCACATCTAGACTCAGATCTGCTGAGAGCACTTGCCTCAAGTGCTGTGCTGAGAAGGATTTAGAGACTCAGGAGGGAAGATAAGGATCTGTTAGGGACTTCTGGAGAGTGGGGAAGGGATGCACCACCCATCAAGGTATTCGTCATCCTGCTACATACTCCTTGGCGTTATTAACTAACGGGCACAGCGCAGGTTCTTTGTGAAATTCCTCCCAAGTGGGCAGATGTTTAGGGCCCCTTCTGCGCAACAGGGACAGAGAGAGAGAGAGCAGCCGAGCCCCCAGTCTGGCTTCAGGGAGCGCGCTCTCCAGGAAAGCACCCGCTTACCTACTGACCCGGCTCCTTCTCGCCCTGCAGGGCCTCAGGGTGAGAGACACGTGTGTGGGCCTCCAGCTCAGAGGACAGCACTGCCAAGGCCGCCCCGTAACAGGCTCATCAAACCTAAACGTCAGCTGGAGGGGTCGGCCCGCATCATGAGCAGCACGCCCATGGAGTGCCAAAGTTCGGGGGACCGAGGAATCCAGTCACTAGGCTATCAGCTCCGAGAGGACGGAGTCTTGCTCATCTTTGAATCTCCAGAACATAGCAGGTCCTCTATAAAATCAGGAAGGAAGAAAAGACAGAAGGAAGGAAGAAAAGGGGAAATGAAGGGGAGAAAAGATAAGGGGAAGGAAAGAGACAGAGAAGAGGACTAGGAGCAGGGGCCATGGGGAGAAGGAGGGAAGGGCGGCCAGTTCTAGGAACTGCACTCTGGGCAGACCATGTTTGCAAAAATGGCTACGACTGCGTCTCCCCTCCTGCCTGCTTTTCCTACAGCACAACTGTCATACTCTCCCACCAAGATGTGTGCATCTGTCTTGACTCTAGGTGAGCTATGGCTAGGGTCGAAGTAACCCCATGTGGCTTCTGCCACTAAGTGAGAAATAAAGCTTCTGCCTGGATCTCTTGAGATGCTTGCTCTTGCAGGCCAAGCGCCACCCCATGAGGATGCCCACGCTGCATGGTGAGGTCCGTGGGGGAGGAACCGAGGCCCCCGGCCCCAGCCAGCCCTGGCTGAGCTTCCAGCACACCGGGAGAGCACACCGTCTTGCAGGTGGATCCTCCAGCCCGAGGTCGAGCTGCGCCGGCTCAGGCCACGTGGAGCAGAGAAGAGCTGTCCCCACCACCTCCTGTCCAAGCTGCAGATCTGTGAGTAATATGACGACTGTTGTTCTGAGCCACCAAGTTTTGTGGCATTGTCACACAATGACAGCTGGCTGAAACCCACTCAGCACACACACATCATCTCCTCTTCTGGAAGAGCCACCACATGCTCACCTCCGGCTCCTGTGCGTGACTCCCGGGTGGCAGGCCCCGGCTCTCACCTGACAACAGCGCCTGGGAATTGCGCATAGGGAAGGAGCCCGTCATGCCGTAGAGGCTGCTGCTGAAGACGGTGGAGGCACTGCTCATGATCACCATGCAGACCATGGTGACCGCGAAGAAGCCGCGGGTCCAGGAGGAGGTGTCCACCTTCACCAGCACGATCATCACCATGAAGACGGCCAGGATGATGCTCAGAGAGGCCAGGACGCGGACATGGACGGAAACCCTGGGGCGAGGATGCCAGAGGTAGTTAGACCCCCCCTGGGGCTCCCCACGCAGGGCCTGGCGGGGGACCCACTTTACGCGAAGCAGGAGAGCTTGGCGGCTGGGAGGCCTGAGCTTGAATCCTGCCCTCTGGGCTCACTCGCTGTGTGGCCTTGGGGAAGTGACTCGATGGCTCTGGTTTTAGCTTCTGCACCTGTACAACGGGAGGGGGGTGGGGCTCTGGGGAGGGGACTAGTCGGGGTGCAGAGAGCAGGGCCTGGCTCAGGGCCAGCGCTCAGTGGATGACGCTGCTTTTCACCTTGCTGCGAGGTTCAAGTTCAGGACTTCTGAGGCCAGTCCCTGCTTCTCCTGCCACTGGGCTGAGCTTCCACTGGGGCAGAAGAACATCCTCATCATCCCAGCAAATACTGGCATGGTATTTAACTTGCGCTAGGCCCTCTGCTCAGTGTTCTCTACATGCTGACGCGTTTAATCCTCACACTGCCTCAGTAAGATAGGTATTCTCACCTATCCCAGTACACAGATAAGGAAGCTGAGGTCAGAGAGGTTAAGGAACTTGCTCAAGCTCACTCAGCTGTGAACCCAGGAGCTCTGGCTCCAGTCTGATGTCTCAGAAAGCTGCTCTATGCCTCCTCTGGTACAAAGGAAACGTGGGTGGCATGGAACACGTGGCCAGGGCAGGTGACTCTCCGGTGATGGTCTCAGTTGTCATGGCAGCAGCTGAGCCTGAATGCCGCCCAGGCCTAGGGGACCTGCCCCCACACCCACAGCCCCCGCCTGCGTATAAGCCATGCACTTCTCCCAGCCCCCACACTGGCCTGGGGAGAAAGGCAGGGAAGGAGGCTGGCGGAGAAACTGCACATTTTTATTCTAGGGAGCAAGAGCATCATCTCAAGGGGCTGTTTAAATCATCAGATTAGACTAAGCTTTAAACCGCATTGGATGTTTAGTTAATTTTCCTGTTAACCAGTGGGCAGGGGGCTGAGAAAAAGCCAGATTTCATAGACATAAATTTTCTTTTGGCTAAAAAATGAAGGACTTGAAAGGTAGAAAAATATCTATATACATAAGTAGGTATGAAATGATGAGCATGAGAAGTAGGAAAGGCTTTTCTCAACGTGCTTTGGTGGGCCCCAGCTAATTTGCGTTTCCGTCTGGTCCTAGGCTGCAGGGGAAGCCGGCTGCAGGGGGAACAGGCGCTGTGTCAAGGGGCAGAGGGAGCCCGAGGAGTAGAAGGGACAGTTCGAGGCTGCAGAGTGAGTCTGTGGGGAGCTGGGGTGGGGCCCAGGTGTGCTGAGCCCCAGCCCGCTGCTCAGTCTGCCAACGTGCGTGCTCCACGGCACGTCCGTCCTGCAAACACGCGCTGGTGACTCAAGCGCTATGCTGGGTGCCCGGGACGAGGGACAGAGCAGCAACAGGCTTTCATTCCACTGCACTCAGTGCTCCCACGGGAAGCCACAGGGCACCCTGGGGCACATCCGAGGGGCACAGAACCCCCCTGAGCATCGTGGAAGGCTGTCTGGAGGCAACACCTAAGCCAGACCATGGGGACGACAGGGAAGCCCATCTGGACGTAAGTGTGCAAGTCTTGGAGGGAGCGAGGCGTGTTCAGGGAGCTGAAATGAGGCTGGACAGAGACATGGATCCACGTCCTGGAGGGGGTGGGGGTGTGTGTGTATCTTTGCCTGCCAGCACCCCTCCCCCTGGGAGAACACTCCTTCCTCCATCCCAGCCACCCTGGGAAGGTCCCGGGGCGGTGGTCGGCCACATCACCCACACCAACAGCACAAACAACAGGCGCATGACCCGGCCTGGCTCATCACAGATCAGAGTGTTCCATGCTCTAGGCCACTGGGGCTGAGGGAGGAGTTAGCATGTGACCACACAGGGCCAGTAAGTCTCCCCTGGTACTGCTGCACGGAAGCCGGTGGGGAGGAGCTCTCTGCTGTGACTGTGTCTGCGGCTCTAGCTGCCATCGTGCCAGCTGTGAGCAGTGACGCTGCATACAGAGTAAAGCCAAGGGGAGACACGTGGAGCCTGGGCAAGCGGAGACCCCCTAGACCCAGCATTGCCTGCAGGCAGACCGGCCTTTAATTTCTAGTTAAAGAACGAGAGAATCCTTTTTTGTGTCTCTACTGTTTGCCACCAAGAGTGCCCAGGGTTTTAAGCTGGGGAAAGACATGGTCAGAAACCAAAGTGATGCTGCTGGTGTCCTGTCCACATGCCCTCCCTCCTACCACTCCATGACACACTGGTCCATGGAGCAGGTTGGAAGTGACAGGTAAGTAACACCTCCTGAGACCACCTCCAATCACGACTAGGGAAGTGGGTGGTACGTACCCCAGCCCCCACCCCACCGGCTGTGTGGTCCACACTGGCTCCCAGAGTCCCCAGCTGGATTAAGCTCTGGTCACCCTGTGTGGGAGCTGGCTGGATAGGGCATCCTTACGGGCCGCCTTTTCTTCCCTGTCTGCCTTCTGTGCTCTTCACCTTCCCCTCCCGAATAAACTACTTGTGTTTGAAACCTTGTTTCAGGGTCTGCAAGGGCCTCGGGCCTGGGCAGAAAGCAGTGGGCAGCCGGGCAGAGTGCCTGGACCCTCGGGGGCCTACAGCATCAGCTGTAAGAGCACAGCAGGGGCCCTGGGGGCTGGCAGTCAAGCCCTACCCCTGATGCTTGGGGTGATCCTGCAACCTCAACGCTTTTCACACAGGGTCCCCCGCCTTTGCCTAGCAGCTGGAGCTGCCCCACCCACCCCCAAGATAAGAGCCAGCAAGGGCAGAGAGCCTGAGTCAGGAGACCAGAGCCTTGCCCAGCTCTGTCATCAATTTGCTGCGTGACCCCAGGCAAATATCCAATCTCTCTGAGCCTCTGTCCTCTCATCTCTAAAAAGAAGAGACTAGACCAGATAATATTATATTAAAGTCCCTAACAGCTAAGAATTCTAAATCTGAAGAAATTCAAGTCGACAGAGACATTGGAGACAAATACCAAAAAGTTTTAACCAGTTTCTTGGGGCAAGGAGGTGGCAAAGGACACTCTGGGTGCAAGGGCAGGGCCCTGCCTGTTCTCCCCTGGCACCAGCACAGGGTCTGGCGGGCACCTGGTAATGCTGGATGTACAGATAGACAAGCCAGGGGACCAGCAGTGTGGGGGCTGCTGCCTGCCTCCTGCCCCCTCCTCGGCGTGGTGGGGAGTGGGGCTGAAGACATCTGCCGGTAAGGACAAAGTCCAGCAGAAGCCCTCCTGTGTGCTGTCACTACAAGGTGATTAAGTGGCTTGGACAGGAAGGTGGCCGTGCAAAGAGCTGGGGGACTTCTCGCTCAGGCACGCCCAGGGCGGGAGGAGAGGGAGGTGCACAGGCAGACGTCGGCATTCCGAGCGCCATGCAGTTTGGAACACTGGCTCTGTACCCACAAGGCCCCTCACCTGTGCGGGTCTCCTCCTCGCCTGCTGATTCCCTGCTGCATCAACCACGCCCGACCAGAGCCTGCATCTACGGTTCCGGGGCTGTCTCCAACATTCCTCAAGCTTCAGGAGAGCTGCCAGGTGCAAGCCTGTCCCGCGGGCACTAACAGGCGACACCGGCTTCCCTCTCTGCCTCTCTCATCCTGGCAGGGAGAGTGGCCCGGGGGATAGGCACGGCTAGACGACAGTTCCAGGCCCGAGCCTGGGGCAGGTCACATTCCCAGAAAGATCCTTGGAGGGGGCTGTCGGCTCCTCCACCCCCTTACTCGTTAGGGCACAGGACCCCAGGGGACTGGTTTCTTCATAAGTCTCCAAAATGTAAATCGTCCTCATAAGTATTTATGATGCTGCAGATTTAACATAATAAAACACTTGGCGATTATGGATGAGCCAGTCGGAGAAAACCAGGGTTCTCCAGGAGGGGAGAAAAGGAGATGCTTCAATCTCGCACATTAAATAAAAAGCAGCTTAGCCCCAAACCGTCTTCCCACAGCCTGGAAGCAGATGGAGGCCTGGGAGCGTTTCCCCACACTGCCCTCACCTCAGCCCTAGAGCCCAGGAGAGTCACGGGCAGGCCGGGTGGGCTAGTCCCCTGCAGATGGTCCCACAACTGCTGAACCTTCCCCTGCCCACCCTCCGGCAAGGGCCCATGCCTTGCTGGAGACAGAGCAGCCCGCAGCCTGGAAGAGGGGCTGCCAGGCCCTCAGGCCCCTCTGAGCAACGCTCTCCTCACTCTTCCAGACCGCACTTTGGTTTTAGGACAGGTGCAAATCCTTTGACACTCTTTCCGTTGGGAAGTGGAGCCCACGTCCCCTTGAAACCGAGCGGGCTTTGTAACTGCCCTGCACGGTCGAGGATGGCAAAAGCACAGCTTCTCCCTGCTCGCTTGGGGCATTTGCCCTCAGCCACTATGTCAGCAGTCCTGTCACCCTGAGGCCAGCAGGGAGACTAGCAGCGGAGCAGGAGAGAAGGAAAAAGAGAGAGAAAGAGAAAAGGGAGGATGAGGGGACAGAGAAAGACAGAGAGAGAATATGAAGACAAATGGGTTCCAGCCCAGCTGCTGTCTGACTGCAGCTGCAGGAGACACGATGAGCCAGACTTGCCAGCTGAGCCTCGATAACCCCCAGAACATGAGAAATACTAATTACCGCTATGGATTTAAGCCACTATGCTTTGGGATCACATTATTTAACAACCGCTTACTGGAATAGCCCCATAGCATAATATGTTTGGAAAGGCTGATCTGTTGTTCAGGCTTGGGACACAGGAGGTGCTAGTGCCACCCTCTCTCCTCCTGTACCCAGGGCAGACATCACTAATCAATCACGGCACACTCCCTGAAGCTGGACCTGCCTTAGAATCCTGTTCAACCAGAGATCTGGCAGTCACTACAAATGGACCAGAGCCGGGAAAAATAGATTTGCCATGGGTGATCTAAGGTCTCAGTAGGCCACGCCCAGGAGAGGCCAGGTTTCTGGACCACAACATAACCACTGCTGCTATCACTCAGCAGTAGCGTAGGGGACGTGCATGCAAAGGGGCTAGGACTGTTGTCCATATAAACACCAATCGAGAACGGCCAGCAACAGTCACCCGGTGGGGTCTGTGGGCCATCCTAAATAGCTCCTTCCACAGTGCGTCCAGATGGAGCCTCTCCTAGTCCTCACCAAGGCAACGTCAGAAATTCCCCCTTGACCCGTCGGCCGGTGTTACCAGCTTAGCACTGCACAGTTGGGCGGTGGGCCACAGGCCTTGCAGCCACTGAGACAGGCTCCCCTGGGAAGAGGAAGGGGGAAGTCCTCTGGACCCCGACCCGCTGTCACAGCAATGTCCCCAGGCAGCTGGTCTGCCCTCTCGATCTTCGTGGACACGTCTGAGCTGCCTGCCTTCTACTTTGGTGGCCAGCGTTAGAGTAGGCAGAGAGAAAGCGGGTGTGGATGGGGGGCATCTCGGAGGCGCGGGGTGAGGCTGGGGCCTGAGAGGGGCGGCCTACCTGTTGACAAGCAGGAAGTTGGCCAGCAGGCACAGCACGGAGGGCACGGTGGAGGCGACGGCAAGGTAGCTCTCAAAGTAGTTCTGGAAGCACACAAGCGAGAGGCTGCCGAGGTCACTCGGGTGGAGGCGAGGCCCCACCCCAGAGCAGAGACAGGGCCCCTCTTGGGGGGGCTTCTCCCTGCTGTCTGCAGACACCCAGGAGCCGTGGGTAAGCCCACCACAGGATGACACGGTCCCACCCCATCTCCAGTCTAAGACCACTCACTCAGTCACTCAACAAACAGCTGTCGGTGTCAGTTGTGCTAACTGCTGCGACATAAGGACATCGTCCCTGTGCGCAGTGAGCCCCGATGCCCTGCAGCTCACGCTCCCCCCACAGACAGAGGCAACGGCGCAGGACCCCCCCCACCCCGCCCCCGCACGTGTCTGAGAAGAAAAGCTCTGCCCGATCAGCCTTCCTGGCCCGCTGCCCAAGTGCGGGATTATCCACGTGGGTTTTCTTTAATGACCCGACCATACTCTCACGTTCTTGCAACCAAGTAAAACCTCTCAGACATGCACCAGGCGCTGCTCCCTGGAGGGAAACTTTGTTCTGACTCTGGACTTGCTCTCTCGATGGAGCTGCCACAGAAGGTCAAAGCCATCTCGGGAAACGGCTCCTAGACTGGCCAGAATGCGGAAAAAGGGCACTTTCCCAGCTGCAGCTCAGGGATATGAGAGAGAGTGCAGGGGACCACTGAAAGGCAAAGGCTTTCCTGATTAGAATGTTCTGGAACCCACAGTGCAAGCGGCGGCACGGCAGCTGTGTGCGTCAAAACTCGGAGAATGTCCACCCACGAAAGGGACCGTCCCATGTGTGCAGTATCCCTTAATAGACCTGTCTTTAAACACACAACACTGGAAAGGGCTGATGTATCTTGGCTTTGGTCGCTGCTCACGGTCAAACCACGAAGCCCAGGTTGGTAATGACGAGTTCTAAGCTGCGATAATAACAGCTTGCGTGTGTCCAGCATTTACCATGTACCAAATACAAGGACTTTATATCAGTTATATTGTTTAACCCTAAATAAACAAGCAAAAAAAAAAAGAAGCTGTGAGTTTCCCACTCTGGACAGCTTGAGAAAGTTAACCGAGGACACGTGTTGAGCACCAACGTGCCGGGTGCAAAGAACGGCGAGTGCAGAGCACTTGGCAATGTCCAGAGACCCCACCGAGCGTGGTGTGGCTCCTGCCCCTGCGGAACCCTGCGCCCCGCCAGGAGGGTAAGATGGAACCTGACGGTTTTTTCAATGGGTTGGAGCTGTTTGCCAAACCTGAGAAAGGACCCGTGGGAGGTTCCAGGTTGGGGCGCGGGGGAGGAGAGGCTAGGTGCTCGAGACAGTGGGAATGCCATGGGTTTGGGGAAGGTCCCAGAGGAGGTGGGATGGGAGTGTGACCTTGAGGGAGAGGGTCAGAGTTCTCCTTTCTGGGAGAGTGTGATTGCCAAGAAAGAAAAATGCCATAAGGGGCCCCCCTTTTCGTCTGAAGCACAGGCCGTGCTACTGGCCCCTTTTAAGCTTGCAGAGTGTTTTGTGGTCTTTGAAATCCGCACCCTGAATATAAGGCCGTGGTGGCCTTGCAATTAAAATGATAATCGCAGCCAGTGTGGTCCATCAACCATGAGCCTTAGAAATAGCCTCCCGCCGGGGAGGCGCGCCTCATTGTCCCTGCCTTGATGGGCTCAGCAGAGCCTGGACTGCTCTGGGGCGTCGTCAATTACACCTGGACACAGTGGCTGGGCCTCTGTGGGGCGGGGTGGGCTGGGGGTTGGGAAGCAAAGGAGAGAGGCCCTTAGGAAGAGACTGCCCTGGCCCAAGCCCCCAGCAAGGCCCCTTCCTTCGGCGGTTGCTCAGTCTGTAACCGGCTGTCGCAAAGGACAAGGAATCTCTGTTTTTGTCTCTTTGAGCCTGCTCAGGCCCCCTGAATGTTCCAGAAGTATGGATTTTCCAGGTAACTGGGTGCTCTGGCTCGTTGATATGTGAGCAGAAAAATGTGCTTTTTTTAATGTTCAAAAGCTTTTTGAGTATTGACAACTGGATAAGACTCTGAGTCCCTTTTGTCTACTGGGCCTGTGTCTGCCTTACAAAGAACGTACGTGCAGTGGGGGGCAGGGACGTGGAGCTGGGCCGTCCTTCCTTCTGCACAGATCGGGAGCTGTGACGTGGGCGGCCTCAGCACAGCCCGTGAAATTTAAAAAAAAACAAAACTTAATTCCTGATATAAACATGTGGAGGTTTTTATTCTATTACTTGCTGCTGGCTGGGTGTGGTGGCTCACGCCTGTAATCCTAGCACTCTGGGAGGCCGAGGCGGGCGGATCATTTGAGCTCAGGAGTTCGAGACCAGCCTGAGCAAGAACGAGACCCCGTCTCTCCTTAAAAAATAGAAAGAAATTAGCTGGACAACTAAAAATACATATATAAAAAATCAGCCAGGTATGGTGGTGCGCACCTGTAGTCCCAGCTATTCAGGAGGCTGAGGCAGGAGGGTCGCTTGAGCCCAGGAGTTTGAGGTTGCTGTGAGCTAGGCTGATGCCACGGCACTCACTCTAGCCCACGCAACACAGTGAGACTCTGTCTCAAAAAAAAAAAAAAAAGAAAAGAAAAGAAACCAAAGCTCTCAGGCCTAGACCATAGGGAACTGAATTCTGCCAACAGCTGGATCTGAGTGAGCTTGGAGGGGGTCCTTCTCCAACTGAGCCTCAGATGAGACCGCAGCCCCGCTGACACCGCCTTGTGAGGACTTAAGCAGAAGATGCACGTAAGGTGTGCCCAGATTCCTGGCCCCTAGTCACTGTGACAGTAAATGTCTGGGGTTTTAAGCCGCTAAGTGTGTAGTGTTTTGTCATGCCACAACAGACTCCTAATTCACGAGGGTTTCAGGAGGCTGGGTTCCTACTCATCAGGGTTGTGCTGAATATTATAGCCTTCCTGTTTCAACTTACAATCAGTTCCTCGATAAAAACAGGGACAGCTGACATGACTTCCTGCCAGACAGGAAGACCAGCGTGCTGGCCCACTTGGGGACAGAGGCTATGCTCGCTGGGCACATCAGTCCCCTCGGCCCTTCCTCACCAACACACGCTGGGTTCAGGAAACTGGATTTAGTTTACGTGTCACTCCAGACCTGTTCACCCTGCCCCTCCGGTGACTCCCTGTCATAAAGCCACTGCCACCAGAGGAGCCGCTGCCAGCGAGAGATCCCTGGGCCTACGCACCGCCGGCTGCGCCAGTGGTTGGGAGAAAGGTCAGGTCACACGCCTGGAAGGGTCGGGGGGTGGGGGGGGCCACGAGGTGGACTTTGACCAATGAGAGGCAGGAGGTGGAAGGAGCCAGCAGATTAACCTATCCTGCCCCTGTGGGACTGCTCTGAAATGTGGTGGCTCCAAGTGGCTTCTCTGGAGACGTCCCACGTGTGTTTTCTTTTTTTAGACAGAGTCTCACTCTGTTGCCCGGGCTAGAGTGCCGTGGCGTCAGCCTAGCTCACAGCAACCTCAAACTCCTGGACTCAAGCCATCCTCCTGCCTCAGCCTCCCAAGTAGCTGGGACTATGGGCATAAGCCACCATGCCTGGCTAATTTAATATATATATATATTTTTAGTTGGCCAATTAATTTCTTTCTATTTTTAGTAGAGCCGAGGTCTGGCTCTTGCTCAGGCTGGTTTTGAACTCCTGACCTTGAGCGATCCAACCGCCTCAGCCTCCCAGAGTGCCAGGATTATAGGCGTGAGCCACCGTGCCCCGGCCCCACGTGTGTTTTGTTGCAAGGCTGTGGCTGGCTCAGTCATCGGGTAGCTCCCTGTGTTTGCACTCTCCACCCCTGCCTCACTTCCCTCTTCCCTCCCTCTTGCTTCCCTGATGGACTACTGCACGGGACCCTGCAGTCGAGCTCCCGCCTTCCACGCCTGACTATGCACTTTGTGGCTCTGCCGCTGGCACCTCCCTCCTGGGTTCATCTCATCGGCTTCCAAGGGGTGCCGGGGCGACCTTCTCCCATCTTGCTTAAGGAAATGTGAGAACCTTTGGACACAGGTTCAAACACATTTGTGACTAGGATGGTACCAGTACTGTCCCCTCCGGAGCAATCCGTAATCTCCATGTGGTTCATGGGTGGACTGCACGGAATGCAATGTTTTGGGATCACTGACACAGAGTTCACCTCCACTTGGGCCTGATTCCTGAGAGCTCGCCCCAAAGGCTCTTTTTTGTCCCAGCAGGGTCCCTGAAACCATCTCCATTTTTAGAGGTGAACACACGGACCCCCAAAGGCAGCTCCAGCCACGGAGGAGTGGAGGGACGAGGAGACTGTGCGGGAGGCAGCACCGGGGCTGCTGTGCACGACAGCTGAGGCTGCGCTTCACACAACCCCGGGGCTGTGACGTGCACGGTGCCGCCCAGAACTGTGCAACAGCAGGCCTGTGTCTACAGCCTGCTGAAAACCTGCAGGCGCTGGGGGTCAGTTTGGGCCTTACAGATCTGCAGGTTAAACACTGTGGGTGGGCTGGGCGAGGTGGCTCCCGCCTGTAATCCTAGCACTCTGGGAGGCTGAGGCAGGCGGATTGCTCGAGGTCAGGTGTTTGAGACCAGCCTGAGCAAGAGCGAGACACTGTCTCTACTAAAAATAGAAAGAAATTAATTGACCAACTAAAAATACATAGAAAAAATTAGCCAGGCATGATGGCACATGCCTGCAGTCCCAGCTACTCGGGAGGCTGAGGCAGGAGGATTGCTTGAGCCCAGGAGTTTGAGGTTGCTGTGAGCTAGGCTGATGCCACAGCACTCTAGCCCCGGCAACAGAGTGAGACTCTGTCTCAAAAAAAAAAAAATAAATAAAGACTGTGGGTGCTTTGGCAGGAAGGCAGGGAATGCATGCCAGAGGTGCCACGAGCCGATGACACCTGCTCCAGCAGGTGGGCCCCGGGCAGGAGACCCTGAGGCCGGGTGGTAATCCCATGGCAGGCCTGCACACGGAATCACAGTGTGTGCCTGCATTGTGCCGGCAGCTGGGCAGATGTGACGGAGAAGCGGTGGCACCTGTGTGCC